ACCACAAGCCCTCAACACTCACCACAAGCCCTCAACACTCACCACAAGCCCTCAACACTCACCACAAGCCCTCAACACACACCACAAGCCCTCAACACTCACCACAAGCCCTCAACACTCACCACAAGCCCTCAACACTCACCACAAGCCCTCAACACACACCACAAGCCCTCAACACTCACCACAAGCCCTCAACACTCACCACAAGCCCTCAACACTCCCCACAAGCCCTCCACCTTCACCACAAGCCCTCAACACCCACCACAAGCCCTCAACACTCCCCACAAGCCCTCCACCTTCACCACAAGCCCTCACCACTCACCATAATGACACGAACCACTCACCACATGCTTCAAGTTCAACTTTCACATAATATTACTCAAAGAGGCCAATCTTTCAAGGTGGTTTTGTCAATCCTGAAGTGTTGTTACATAGTCAACCCTCCGAGTTGAGTAATTAATCTGAAATACGTGTGAGGACAGGTATTTGTTACACACTTAGAGTGCCTTCCTGCCCTTGTTACACACTTGAGTGCCTCCCTGCACTTGTTACACACTTGAGTGCCTTCCTGCACTTGTTACACACTTGAGTGCCTTCCTGCACTTGTTACACACTTGAGTGCCTTCCTGCACTTGTTACACACTTGAGTGCCTTCCTGCACTTGTTACACACTTGAGTGCCTTCCTGCACTTGTTACACACTTGAGTGCCTTCCTGCCCTTGTTACACACTTGAGTGCCTTCCTGCCCTTGTTACACACTTGAGGGCCTCCCTGCACTTGTTACACACTTAAGTGCCTTCCTGCACTTGTTACACACTTGAGTGCCTTCCTGCCCTTGTGACACACTTGCATACACCCTCAGGATGCACTTGAAGTGTGTTCCCGTGTTGCAATATGATTGATTGATGACGTAGATAATGATTGTCCAGCCGGTCCTCTGCAGCGTTCCCAACGTCACTAAACTGATGTACTAAATTGCCCGAACCTAACCGAGCAGAGGACTCAAGAACAGAAAACGGAATATCACGTTCATTTTGATAGTCTCTATGATTTGTGTTCGATTTTATACGTCAAAATGTGATGTTCGTAACCGCAGGGTCTGGCCAGTAACCAAATGGGTGAGCACACTGTGTGTGGTGGAGTACAACCTGTTGTACCACAACCGGTACAACAGACAGGCTGTGGTACAACAGACAGGGTGTAGTACAACAGACAGCCTGTGGTACAACAGACAGGCTGTGGTACAACAGACAGACTGTGGTACAACAGACAGGCTGTAGTACAACAGACAGGCTGTGGTACAACAGACAGGCTGTGGTACAACAGACAGGCTGTGGTACAACAGACAGGCTGTGGTACAACAGACAGGCTGTAGTACAACAGACAGGGTGTGGTACAACAGACAGGCTGTGGTACAACAGACAGGCTGTGGTACAACAGACAGATTGTGGTACAACAGACAGATTGTGGTACAACAGACAGGTTGTGGTACAACAGACAGGTTGTGGTACAACAGACAGGGTGTAGTACAACAGACAGCCTGTGGTACAACAGACAGCCTGTGGTACAACAGACAGCCTGTGGTACAACAGACAGCCTGTGGCACAACAGACAGGCTGTGGTACAACAGACAGGCTGTGGCACAACAGACAGGCTGTGGTACAACAGACAGGCTGTGGCACAACAGACAGGCTGTGGTACAACAGACAGGCTGTGGTACAACAGACAGCCTGTGGTACAACAGACAGCCTGTGGTACAACAGACAGCCTGTGGTACAACAGACAGCCTGTGGTACAACAGACAGGCTGTGGTACAATAGACAGGCTGTGGTACAACAGACAGCCTGTGGTACAACAGACAGCCTGTGGTACAACAGACAGGCTGTAGTACAACAGACAGGCTGTGGTACAACAGACAGGCTGTGGTACAACAGACAGGCTGTGGTACAACAGACAGGCTGTGGTACAACAGACAGGCTGTGGTACAACAGACAGGCTGTGGTACAACAGACAGGCTGTAGTACAACAGACAGCCTGTGGTACAACAGACAGGCTGTAGTACAACAGACAGCCTGTGGTACAACAGACAGGCTGTGGTACAACAGACAGGGTGTAGTACAACAGACAGCCTGTGGTACAACAGACAGGCTGTGGTACAACAGACAGATTGTGGTACAACAGACAGATTGTGGTACAACAGACAGGCTGTGGTACAACAGACAGGTTGTGGTACAACAGACAGATTGTGGTACAACAGACAGGTTGTGGTACAACAGACAGGTTGTGGTACAACAGACAGGCTGTGGCACAACAGACAGGCTGTGGTACAACAGACAGCCTGTGGTACAACAGACAGGCTGTAGTACAACAGACAGGCTGTGGTACAACAGACAGGCTGTAGTACAACAGACAGGCTGTGGTACAACAGACAGGCTGTGGTACAACAGACAGGCTGTGGTACAACAGACAGGCTGTAGTACAACAGACAGGCTGTAGTACAACAGACAGGCTGTGGTACAACAGACAGGCTGTAGTACAACAGACAGCCTGTGGTACAACAGACAGGCTGTAGTACAACAGACAGGCTGTGGTACAATAGACAGGCTGTGGTACAACAGACAGGCTGTGGTACAACAGACAGCCTGTGGTACAACAGACAGGTTGTGGTACAACAGACAGCCTGTGGTACAACAGACAGCCTGTGGTACAACAGACAGCCTGTGGTACAACAGACAGGCTGTGGTACAACAGACAGGCTGTGGTACAACAGACAGCCTGTGGTACAACAGACAGGCTGTGGTACAACAGACAGGCTGTGGTACAATAGACAGGCTGTGGTACAACAGACAGGCTGTGGTACAACAGACAGGCTGTGGTACAATAGACAGGCTGTGGTACAACAGACAGGCTGTAGTACAACAGACAGCCTGTGGTACAACAGACAGGCTGTGGAAACAGTTCAAAAGTCACATTCAGCAGACGAAGGGTGCCCCATCCCGCTCATGGAAGGTCCACCTCGCACACACACACACACACACACATGTTACGCCTGCATCTGGTGTTTTGTTTCAGGACATTATAGAGAGTAGCGAGGAGGCCAGATTCACGAAGCCGTTACGAAAGCACTTACGAACCTGGGGCCAGATTCACGAAGCAGTTACGCAAGTACTTACGAACGTGTACATCTTTCCTCAATCTTTGATGGCTTTGGTTACATTTATCAAACAGTTTACAAGCATGAAAACGCTCCCCAAATAACTGTTGTTATTGTTATAAACAGCCTCTTGGTGCTTCCGAGCTCATTAACTGTTAAGTAATTGTAAACAAAGTCGACAAAGATTGAGAAAAGATGCTTGCGTAACTCCTTCATTTGTGACTTAGTATACTGCGCCAGACACACGTGACTCAGTATACTGTGCCAGACACACGTGACTCAGTATACTGCGCCAGACACACGTGACTCAGTATACTGCGCCAGACACACGTGACTCAGTATACTGCGCCAGACACACGTGACTCAGTATACTGCGCCAGACACACGTGACTCAGTATACTGCGCCAGACACACGTGACTCAGTATACTGAGCCAGACACACGTGACTCAGTATACTGCGCCAGACACACGTGACTCAGTATACTGCGCCAGACACGTGACTCAGTATACTGCGCCAGACACACGTGACTCAGTATACTGCGCCAGACACGTGACTCAGTATACTGCACCAGACACGTGACTCAGTATACTGCGCCAGACACGTGACTCAGTATACTGCGCCTGACACGTGACTCAGTATACTGCACCAGACACACGTGACTCAGTATACTGCGCCAGACACACGTGACTCAGTATACTGCGCCAGACACGTGGCTCAGTATACTGCGCCAGACACACGTGACTCAGTATACTGAGCCAGACACACGTGACTCAGTATACTGAGCCAGACACGTGACTCAGTATACTGCGCAAGACACACGTGACTCAGTATACTGCGCCAGACACGTGGCTCAGTATACTGCGCCAGACACACGTGACTCAGTATACTGCGCCAGACACGACTCAGTATACTGTGCCAGACACACGTGGCTCAGTATACTGCGCCAGACACGTGGCTCAGTATACTGCGCCAGACACGTGGCTCAGTATACTGCGCCAGACACGTGACTCAGTATACTGCGCCAGACACGTGGCTCAGTATATTGCGCCAGACACGTGGCTCAGTATACTGCGCCAGACACGTGGCTCAGTATACTGCGCCAGACACACGTGGCTCAGTATACTGCGCCAGACACGTGGCTCAGTATACTGCGCCAGACACGTGGCTCAGTATACTGTGCCAGACACACGTAGCTCAGTATACTGCACCAGACACGTGACTCAGTATACTGCGCCAGACACACGTGACTCAGTATACTGCGCCAGACACACGTGACTCAGTATACTGCGCCAGACACACGTGACTCAGTATACTGCGCCAGACACACGTGACTCAGTATACTGCGCCAGACACACGTGACTCAGTATACTGAGCCAGACACGTGGCTCAGTATACTGCGCCAGACACGTGGCTCAGTATACTGAGCCAGACACACGTGACTCAGTATACTGAGCCAGACACGTGACTCAGTATACTGCGCAAGACACACGTGACTCAGTATACTGCGCCAGACACACGTGACTCAGTATACTGCACCAGACACGTGACTCAGTATACTGCGCCAGACACGTGACTCATTATAAAGCTACTGACAGTAAAGATTTGTTTGCCTGTATTTGAAGAGCATAATTCTGTGTGAATAACTTTTCTCCCCCGGTACAAAATTACAGTAATATATACTACTAATGTGATGATGTAATGTTTACGAGGCTTCTAAGTCTTCCCCCAATAAATTGTTTTTTAAATATTAAATTTTTGGCCCGAGGGGCGACATTGAGAAGCACGCTGCGACGATACTGGAGCAGGAGACGAACCTCCGTGGGGAGGCGGTCATGTGGTACCTACCTGGGTGATGATGTACATTTTTCGGGCCAGTGTGGGGAGGTCGGCCAGGGAATGCCCCAGGCTGTAGCCGACGAAGGATCCACGTTCAGGGTAGAGTTCACTGTTCACCCTGGAAATGGTGGAGCGTAGAGACGCCATCGATGGCCGCGAACTCAAGTTTCCGAACGATATTCCTCCAAATGACGGCCTGGAGGACATGCCCCCAAAGGACGACCTGGAATTCAAGAAGCCGGGCGACGACACAGTCGAGAAGCGTGACTGTCTTGCATGTAGGAAAGGCAGTTGGTCCCTGGCCTCCTCAGCTTCTTCTAAGGTAGTGCCACCATTTTTGAAAGCAACGGAATCTTTTTCAGCAGGCGACTCCTCATCCTTTTCTATATGATTTTCATCCTTCTCCGTCATCTGGAAGGCCACGTGCTGGGCGCTGCCCCTTTCTTGGTCAGCGGAAGACATCGTGCTGGTCTCACAACAATACTACTTTTATATCTGATATTGTTTGAACTGTACTTGTACACGTAAAGCTTACAGAGCAAGATCACTTTTCAGGAACGAAATATGAACACTGATTTCAAAATCTATCGTGAATAGAAGTTGAGAGAGCACTGTGTGGCGAGGCACGCGGGCACCCAGCCGTCCCGCACCGCACCAGAGCTATACTACTGCTGCCTCTGAACACCGAACCTGATTTGGCTCACTCAGTCTGCGCGCAGCATTTATGTTGCGTCGACAGGCCTTCCGCCCCTCCCTCCCTTCCCCCACCAACACCCCTTCCAATCCCCCCCCCCACCAGGACCACCAGCAACTCCCTCCCTCACCCCTCTCCTCCCAGAGACCCTCCCTCACCCCCTACTCCCTCCCAAGTGGCTTTCCTCGTCATCTATATTCACCAGAACATAAAATATTCTAGTACGAAGAGGATATTGGAGGTGTAACAACTTGCCTATGGTGTTAACACTTGCCTGGTGGGGGGCGACATGCACTCATCCTTTACTAAAGATACACAAGAGGCTACCTTACCAGGCTGTTGGACGCGGCTGTTCGCAGCCTGACGTATATGAATCACAACCTTGTTGATCAGGTACAACTGTTGCCTCACTCTCGGGTATTTTTTACCCGAGTAAGTAGCTTTTAGAGTCAACAACCAAAACATTAAAACATGTGAGCATCACAAATACCTTGTAGTAGGTATCAAGAAGGACACTTTAAACGATCTACATCAAAGGTTAAAACATCATTCAAGTAGCATACACACCCATCACCCGCGCTCTACATCATAACCTTATCATGCACCAAAAAATTGACAGTGAACATAAGAATAAAGGTAACTGCAGAAGGCCTATTAGCCCATACGAGGCAGCTCCTATTTATATCAACCCAATCAGTGCAGGCTACTGATCACACGGTCCGGTTTGACTAACAATACTGTGAGAGTGAGACGAACACGAGAGAAATATAGTCATGTTTGGAGAGAAGGATGGAGAGAAAGTCAAAAGTTATTAGACTTTTGGACAAAGTGATCACGCAAGTAGGCTCGTCTCAAGTCTCGACCATGTCTGGTTGGAACCGTCTGACCATCAGAGCCTGCAACACCGTCGTGATGTTAGTGTTGCAGATTGAAAATCTGGTGTTGTTGGTTGAAAATTCCACATTATCCATTTCTTTCCTTTCGGTTCTCTTATACGTTTGTGGCAGTGAAATGTTCTAGAGTTCTCTGGAGTTGCGGGTAGCTGATCAAGTTACAATGCCTTGTAGATAGCACCTAGGTAATCAAATACCTAGGGTACAAGGTGTTGAACTAGAGAGGGTGCAGGAGGACCTCTGAGGGAGAACTAGAATAGTTAACTCGGGGCGGGATAATGAACAAAAGAGAGTTATTCCCCCCACCGCCCGTTACACTGACACCCCAAAATACTAACCCCCCCCCCAGTATAAATACGTAGTTAGGAATTTTAATTTACTAACAATATTAATTTCTAGTGCGGAAGCACCAAATGTTTTCTAGTATCGACGGTGATGGATTGCGTCACCACCAAGGCTCATTCCGTGACGATTTTTTTTATATAAAATTCTTATTAAAGCCAGTCTACAATTTGCTTTTATTTGCATTTGTTATTTAAATTGAAAATTAATCAAATTCAACAAGCGTTAAAGTGTACGTCCATCCCAAGGTGAATTTTCCCTCCGTGATATGTAGATTCACAGCCAGAATAATAATCATGTCACATATTCAGCATTTCTTAAATGTGCTTTTAATGATGGGAAAACCTTTCAATCCAGCATTATGAACAACGGAAAACTGTTCTCTGGTATTTGACGTAAAATATTAGGGAATAAAATGACGCCAATATCGTTTCGTTAGTGAAAGAGATAAATTAAATAGCGTGACTTAACTCCCCGGGCGTTCACCACGAGGGAGGGAGGGAGGGAGGGAGGAGTGTCACTTGCATACAGAGTCTTGCGACAACAGGAGCTCGAGCTGATCCCTGCTGAAGCAAGCTGATTAGCATCGTCCAATATCTGGGTCATCCGTCTGTCTCACGGGCCCCAGACTTTGCTGCTACCTTGAGGTTACCTTGAGGTGCTTTCGGGGCTTAGTGTCCCCGCGGCCCGGTCGTCGACCTGGGGCCAGATTCACGAAAGCACTTACGAACCTGCACATCTTTTCTCAATCTTTGGCAGCTTTGTTTACAATTATTAAACAGTTAATGAGCTCCGAAGCACCAGGAGGCTGTTTATAACAATAACAACAGTTGATTGGCAAGTTTTCATGCTTGTAAACTGTTTAATAAATGTAACCAAAGCCGTCAAATATTGAGGAAAGATGCACACGTTCGTAAGTGCTGGCGTAAGTGCTTTCGTGAATCTGGCCCCTGGCCTCCTGGTTGCTAGCTCCACACAAGGGAAACTGCGTCCGGTTAGTGCTTACTGTTCTATTAGGCTATATTTTCCTGATTAGAATTAACCGGCCGTTATGCCGTAGGACAACTAAAACATCTAGAGTAAGTTTAGGTCTATTAGGCAGCTAATCTATTCATTGAGATTAACTGATTTAATATTAGCACTGCAGGAGTTAAAGTGTATGTTTTTCGCAGCGTGGAGAGAAGCAACCTGGAGCCAGCTGCCTCAACTTACACTTTACACATGGGTTCGACACCCCATCTAGGAGAGGAGAAATTGGACTGACTCTCCAGAAGTTCCTCTGACGTTACATACGCAAACCTACTTGGCAGCTTTGCCCTCCTGACTTATTTTTTTAGTAATTTTAGTTGGTCTACTAACATTTTTATAAATTATTATTAACCATATTTTACTAACTTCATGATTATATAATATTATAAGGTGGATTTAGCAATCTACCTCCCAAAAGTTGTGTAAGTGGTAACGCCTAGCAGGAATATAATCAGTCATGTAGTCCACTTTTACAGTCCATTTAAAATTAAGTAATTTTAATATAATTCAAACACCTGCTGGCAAATTCTCACAACATATGCCGACGTACAATACAATTAAAAAGTAGAAATTGATACTACTGAATTTGGACAAGCCAGAAAAGATTTTATAGGTATGTTGTAAAGGAACACTAAACTAACCTAACCTTCCTAGGCCTAATACATAATATCTGAGGCCTATCGACCATTCTCAAGTCGATTGTGAATCGACTTGAGAATGGTCCAGGACGGACCGAAACGTCGTCGTCCCTTCACCTTCTAGTGTGTGGTCTGGTCAACATAATTTAGCCACGTTATTGTGACTCATCGTCTGCATACTGCTTGATGAGCAGTTAAGGACTGATGTCCAGTCGAACCCTTCTCTCCGGGGCTCGAACCTGGGCCGATATCCTTGGGGAGGCGTGGAGTGGGTGCGCTACCACTACACCACAAGGACTATAACCATCCCGTATGTTAAGACCTGATCAAAATGCACCACGGCACTTCGCCTCGACTCGATGCCACTAGTTTATTGTTCTGCTGTTCTTAACACACGAGTAATAGGATTAATTATCTGCAAGTGCAGGAGGAGAGTGCACCAAAAGTGAGTTAACAAGCCACAACAGGGTCAGGTTCAAGGCATCTTAGCAGGAATGTGAGATGGTGTTAAATAACCTTTGCGATGATTGGATAGACACTCAGGTGTGGTTTCAAGAAGAGCCTGTGATTGGTAGAGGAGAGGGCGTGATGTGGGCTGGCCCCGCCCACCTTCCCAGACAGGTGGATGTAAACTGGTCAGTGTTCCCTGCCCGCCACAAGCCAGGGAGGGGGGGGATACTACTCAGGAGGAATGTTGTCTAAAATGTGGTTTACGCAGTGTGCTGGCCAGGCAGGTGCAGGGGGGCAACACACACGCCCGTAGGTACTTAGTATTCCAGCAGAGGAACCCGAGGCTGCTCTGTTGAAGACCCTGACCTCACCCACCTTCCCTACAACCAGGATTTCATGATATACATCTTAAGAGGTTAGGGACTACCTGTAAAATAGACCCATGTTAAGAGGGGAGGGGAGGGACTACCTGTAAGATAGACCCATGTTAAGAGGGGGAGGACTACCTGTAAGATAGACCCATGTTAAGAGGGGAGGGGAGGGACTACCTGTAAGATAGACCCATGTTAAGAGGGGGAGGGGAGGGACTACCTGTAAAATAGACCCATGTTAAGAGGGGCGGGGAGGGACTACCTGTAAGATAGACCCATGTTAAGAGGGGGAGGACTACCTGTAAGATAGACCCATGTTAAGAGGGGGAGGGGAGGGACTACCTGTAAGATAGACCCATGTTAAGAGGGGGAGGGGAGGGACTACCTGTAAGAGAGACCCATGTTAAGAGGGGAGGGACTACCTGTAAGATAGACCCATGATAAGAGGGGGAGGGGAGGGACTACCTGTAAGATAGACCCATGTTAAGAGGGGAGGGACTACCTGTAAGATAGACCCATGTTAAGAGGGGGAGGACTACCTGTAAGATAGACCCATGATAAGATGGGGAGGGACTACCTGTAAGATAGACCCATGTTAAGAGACGAGGGACTACCTGTAAGATAGACCCATGTACCTCTCCCCACCTGCCTCAACAGTCAGTGCCACACGCCACATGGGGTTAATCTTACAGGTAGTCCCTCCCCCTCTTAACATGGGTCTATCTTAGAGGTAGTCCCTCCCCCTCTTAACATGGGAGTATCTTACAGGTAGTCCCTCCCCATCTTATCATGGGTCTATCTTACAGGTAGTCCCTCCCCATCTTATCATGGGTCTATGTTACAGGTAGTCCCTCTGCCCCTTCGGTATGGGTGTATGTAGCCAACATACACACACACACATATACACTGTTGACCTCAATGGTAATGAGCCAGAGGGAGGGTCCAGGAGGCTGGCTCAAGGCGTCCTTGTGTGACTACCGGGTTCCTCTCCTCACAGTGTTGCCATGGTGATTCCCTCTCTCTTTACAACCACGACGGTTCAAATCAATTCATATTTTTAAATTAATAATTTAAAACCAACAGCTGTTTCCCTACATCAGCTTATTAGAGGCGTGACCCTAGAAACTGACCTGTTAATGAATTATTTTTAATTTGGTATAAGGCTTAACTGTTAGGTTAGAATGGTACGAGGCACAGGTGAAGGTCAGAGTTTACTGTGTACCTGAGCATGTGGTCCGTTGCTGTGATTACAGGAGGATTCAGGTGATGACAGA